ATGGTACTTCTTTACTCCAGACCACAAGTGACCATCAATACGCTATTTTATAGTGTGGCTCAATTTAATCTTCGACCTTGTTTTGATTCAAAAAGAAATAAATTCAGTTCGGATGGTCTGCCTAATCCCTAATGCATTGATTTCTAAGCATTTCGATATCACTACCATGACAAAACTCGTTAAATAATGCACCTAAAAGCGAGCTTTTTTGTGTGGTAGGTGGCAAGTTTGTGAATGGTCAAATGCTTGACCTTCTATCACCTCTTAAAACATACCACAAATTTTCCACAATGCATGGCGGTTTGCACCACTAGTTGTAATTGAAGCATTCAGCAGTCACGCGTCAAACGGGAGCAACACGGAAACAGCAGTCTGGTACGCTTTGGACGTGTATCATACTTGCAGACCGGTTTGAATGTGTGAGTTTAAATTAGAAGAACATTTGTGATGTGTGGGTGCCTAAAGCGTGCATTTCTCGCGGTGCACTTGGATATCTGATTGCAGGCAAAGAGAGTAATGGAGAAAGAGAACGCAAAGGCTCGCTCTCAGTCTCTTGTCAGTTGTAAATCTCTCGATGGTTGCGCCGGTGCGCCTGTCAAAACTGATGAGCTTCCCCTGGTTCATTCTGATGAAAAAAAGAGTTGATTAATTCTAGACTTACATTTGCAAAGGGCGTAATTCCAAAATGACCATATCGAGAAAATCGCTTCTGAATTTTGTTGACCTAAAAATTAATCCTATTTCACGACTTTCCATTTTCTGGTTGATTTTATAAGCTTGACATATAGTTAATAGTGTAATCTATCATCATGCATCACTAAAAACTCAAAAAAAGTTTTCTTTGTCGTGAAAATGAGAAGAAAACATCATACGCCCTGATAATTTCATACATGTTGTTACCCCCCAGATCTTCCACCCTTTGAACTGCCAACACTGGTGATGCGCCGTGGAAGTACACCCTCGGGATTTTTTGTTTGTTGTTCCGCCTTGGTTCTTCGTTCTCAAATTTTGTGAGAGTGGAATTACGCCCGGAGATGTTTTGGTCTTCTTTTTGTTCGTTGTTTACACGTGAACTATCAATCGGATGCATTTCAAATGAATCGGGCGTGACTAGATACTACAGAATCAAAACATCTGGCATATTAAAACGATATAATTCGTAGTTCTGGTGCAAGACGTAACAACCAGATTCATCATAGAGTTGAAAGTTGGAAATACACCATGTAAGAAGAAACATTTTTGATGATTTGAAGTAATATTTTCTTCTACTTTTTCGTGTTTATCGAGTAGTTTGTGAACTATTCTCTCTATATGTGGCAAAATATGGTTTGTTTACATTTTGGCTCTTCCGCCCCTTTCAAATGTTAGTCTAGAATTCAAGTTTGCTACCCAGGGGACTTCATTAATTTTCTCAAGATTTTGACACTGTTTTATGTAGAAAAATGTTTTCGGAAGTGTTTGACGGATATTCTTCATTACACTTCAGTCGAAAAAGTTAGCCTTGTGATAAAAACGAGAATTAGTCAAGTTTTGCAATTCCTCCTACTTCGGTTAGCGCGAAGAGGGCCATACAAGTTTTGTTTACACAAGATGATTGGCCCTTCAAATGTTACTTTAGCAAGTGATTAATATAGTAAATGAAAATATGTCCCTCGAATTCATGGAGCATTGAAAAAAAACAAAAGCTAATACGTTGTGGTAAACTATAACGAACAAAGCTTGGTGCACAGATAAACAAATGAGGCGCGCGACGCCTGTGATTATTTATAAGAGCTTAATAAATTTTACAGCTTTACAGCGTTGGGCAACAGTTTTATTGTTTGTCCCGCTAGAAGAATCGGTGCCCGTATCTTCGAAGCTTCTATTTTTAATAGGGGAAATGACTCTAATGTTGTCCTATGGATCTAAAAATTGGGCCCATCGATAATACTCTCCTGTTCTTCATTTTTTAGGACAATGCGTCATCTGGAACTCGATCTGGACAATACAAATTTATATTTTTGATTTTTGGTGAAAAAATGGGAAAAATGCTTTCAATCGAAATGTATGTATGGGCCCAATATTAGGGGCTCTTAGGTCGAAATTCAGGACAACCCTATATTAGATCTTTAAAATTGTCAAGATTTGGCTACGTCCGAGACTTTGTATATTTTTCTCTGGGCCTACATTTTTCGTTCTTATCACCAATGCGCGATCAGCATCTAAATTAAAGTTAGTAAGTTGTTTATTTAAAAAAGTAAAGGTGAATAAAAGAGTGCAGGGTGAGTCCTAATAAAATTTGTATGGTTATTTTGCTTAACTGCGTGTTCAGGATATCATCAAAACCATTTGTGGAATAGTTTAATCATTTGTATTGTATTGTATTTGTAAATGGAGAATAGGATTGGATCGTGATACGTGAGTTTATAAAATTTCTCGAAGTGGCAATCACAACCGCAAGAAACGAAAGATTGGAACCATATTTTCCCGATCAATATATGATACTAGTGATCACTTTTTGGTCACTATTTTCGATATTTAGCTCACTAATGTCACTACCATTATATTACATACCTACTACCAGCCCTGTAGCTGGAAAATGGTTTATAAATGGTCACCCTTAGCTTAACTCAAATTTCAGACATGTTTATCATACAAATGTCTTTATTTTACCATTCCTAGCTTAATTGCTTTTGAGTTAACACACAGTTTATGAAATTCGGGAACAGTCAACTTTTAGATAAAGACTGAACTCGAAAAAAATGAGACACACAAAAATGAACACCAAAAATTAATTTTAAATCGGATACTTCTCAAATTTTCAGGGATTAAATAACTATATATTAGCTATGTTTTGGCATAATTTATTTATTGAATTTCCTCCCCCCAGCTGAATGCTTGTACATTTCTCTTAACACTGCTCATATCTTGGGCGAGGCTTTGCCTATCTTCCTTACACAATTTCTCCCAGTTTTTCTTCAAAGCTTCCCCTAATAAACAAATACCATAAACGAACTATATCCCGGATGGATAAACTATCCCACAAATAATTCGGATGATACCCCGAACACGTTGTTAAGCTCTCTTTCATGGTTATTTTTATTAGGGTCATCGGTTTAGAATCCGCTTTTCTTCAACTTCTTCTTCATTATCGCCCAAAACTTTTCGATCGGACGAAGTTCTGGTGTATTTGGCGGGTTCGCCTCCTTCGGGACAACATTAAGCGCCCTTCGCTTCGTACCAATCCATTACAGGCTTGGCGTAATGGCACGAAGCGAGATCCGGCCAGAACAGCGTGGAACCACGGTGAGAGCGGAGGAACGGCAGCAAGCCCTTCTGCAAGCATTCCTCTCGATAAATCTGCCCGTTTATGGTGCCGGTTGTAACGAACGGCTTGCTGTACCGTCCGCACTCGCAGATCAGATCGCCTGCCACAACAGGTACTTCTTCGTGAATTTGTCCATCTTTCTCTTCCGGAACTTTTCCGGAACCTCCATGCGGGACGTACCGACAAAAAACTCGAGGCCGGGGATTTGTTTGATGTCCGCCTTGATATATGTCTCGTCGTCCATGACGAGACAGCCTGGCTTGACCAGCCACTCACGGTACAGCTTCCGCGCACGCAATTTGGCCACCGTGTTTTGCTTGTCAGTCCGGTTTGGCGCCTTCCTGACCTTAAAAACACGTAGCCCAGCCCGCTTCATGGTCTGCTGAACGAACCACTTCGACGAATTGGCCTTTTTGGCCACGTCTCGGGTGGAAAGGTTCGGGTTATTCTTAAAGTACTGCTTTATCTTCCGCGCCTTCTCTGGGTATTCCGTTTTCGGTTTTCGGCCGCTTCCAGCGCGCCGCTCGATGGCCTTCGTCTCCTGGAACATCTTCACAACGCGGGACACGGTGTAATGGTGGATTCCAAGCCTTTTCCCGATCCATCTGTGCGACTGACCAGGATTATCGATCACCGCGCCCAAGATTTGCTGGCGTAGCTCTTCTTGTTTCGAATGCATCTTGAAAACTACTTGACAAATTTTGCACACATATACATAACACTCTAAACTAGTATTACCCAAAATTTCATTAATTTTTACCCACGCGATAAAAAGTTACACCCAAAACAAAATGTCGCATTTTTTCCGAGTACAGTCTTTATTGAAGCAAATTTCGCATCTTCCAACTTCGTATTCACATAAATAGGGGAAATGGATGTAATGTCGACCTAAATGCCCCTAATTTGGGCCCATACATAAATTCAGCAATCGACTACATTTTCAATAGCGACCAAAAATATCCATTAGTTCCGTCCCAATGACGCGTTCATCTAGATAAAATTTATAAATAGCAGATTTTTAGCGATGGGCCCAATCTTAGCTCCATAGGCCAACATTAGAGCCATTTCCCCTATATCATAGAATATCACTCTCCTTCTTAACTTTATACAAACGACAATCTTGCCTCTAACCGATTACGCCAAGCTATATAGAACCAATGCACTTGACACATTCCTCCAAGCCCCTTTCCACGTTCGTCTCAGACAAAAGGTGTCTGATGCAAGTGCACTTTTCCTATTCTTTGCTTTCCGTGTCCGCCAGTTTGTCCACTTTTCCCCTGTGAAGAATGCATCACAACGAAGCAGTATGAGTAGAGTTGCTCCGGTATGTGTGAGTGTGTGTTTGCTGGCTTGGGGTTTACAGTGAAAATATCGCATCCCGTACGTACCTACACATCCGCACCCGCATTTGAGAGCAAGAGAAGCCGCCGATTTTCAGCCGAAAGGAACGATTCTTACGAAGTGTAGAGAAGCAATAAAAAACACCATCAAAAAGATGCACCGACTTCCAGCGGATGGGATATTGAAAACATGAAAAAACGAACAAAAGTGCTACCGTGTTTACCCAATGCCGCTCAGGGTGCATCATAGAGTGAAGAATGAACAAGCAGTGACCGATTAAGTTCCTATTACGAGGAAGTGAATTAATTTACGTTTCTCTTTTTTTTTGTATGTTCATTGTGAATCAATATAGGTGTGGATTACTTCGCCCGTGGATACCAATATGAGCTATCAAATGCCGCAAAATCGAACAAGTAAGTGTAATTATTTTTGTAGAGTGTAACTTTTATAAATAATTGGACAATAACTCAAAACATATAAAAATATTCTGAATAAAATGAGAGCATGTGTCTGTGTGTCTCTAGGAATATCTGAATGCGACTCGTTTATCTCCGAAATGCTTAAAGCTATGCATTAAGCTAGGAATTTAGCAAGGTGAACTTATTTATTTATATGATCGAAATGTAGAATATCGTGAACCTCCGGTAATCTGACCGCTTTTAATCTGATTACTTTGTACACCGTTGATTTTCCCGTTCAAAATAAAAGAATATTTCGAAACGAAATGTATAATCAAAACAAACCAGACGAAACACACTATTCTGATGATTAGGGGTAGGCGGGGTAAGATCGCCACCCTAGGGAAGACGAGCGCCTGTCAAGTTTACCTAAAAAATATAATATTTAAGAATACTGCACATTCAAAAATGATCCTACGCAACGCTCCAAAAATGATTGATTGAGGAATATTCAACTACTACCGACACATTCATAAACATATGCAGACCGGAAAAAATCACTCTTTTTTAATAAGAATTTGCAATAACACTTTTCTTGTTTCGTTTGTTACAACTTTCAGTTAATGTTTGACCCTGGTGCTGGTATTTTGTTTTGATAAACTATGGAATATGATTCTTAAAAATTAAAAATATCATATCAGAACAAAGTCTGCTAAGGGTGCACGTTTTCCCTCACGCTCATCTTGCCCCGGGGTGACTGAGAACGATGTAAAAAACTACAAGGGACAGCCCTATGGGGTTGCACGCAATGGTGACGTAGGACAACGTGGTCTTATATAATAAATCTTATTTGTTAACTGCAGCAAGAGCTTGTGTTTTGTGTAGGAATAGGAATTTGAGCGGGGTTCTCTCTGTTTATACTCTTTAGTATGACGCACATGACTCGCAAAGAGCTACTGATTCCGATCAATAGTGGTGCGGCTTCTTCCTCCTTCTATGGATGCTCATATGGGCTGCAGCTCGCTGCTTGCAGGCAGCCTTTCGTTGTGTACTGGAGAACAATGTTCAACGCCACACGCCAAAAGTGCTGCTGATGCTAATACCGACGACCAGACACCACCACACACGGTGATTGAAATTAAATCAGCGGTGAGGGCAGCCTTGATAGCTAGCTGCTTGCGAGGAGCCTTTCTTTATGTACTGGAGAACACCACCACTCACCGCGGTGATTGAATAATTGGTGAGACTGGATGGAATTCAACTTTGAAATCTGTGTTAGGGATATCGCTTTTCGCAGGCAATCAGTGATAATTTTAATCATCATAGCAACAGTTGCACATTCGTGCAAATTTCAAAAATTACATTTTCAAAATTGATAAAGTCCTAATTTAAACAGATGCGAAGGAATATTTCTGATCGATTGGTGATAAAATGATTGAAATTGGTCCAGGGGCAGCTGAGTTATTGACGTTCAAAATCTTTCATAATTTTGTTATATTTTCCATTTTCGGTTTTCACAAAGTGTACCCCCATATAGAAATCACAGACGTAGTCCTACGTCAAAAGTTACGTTTTAAATTTATTTAAATCCAAAATTTAATACATTTAATTTTATCAATTCGTATGTGCTGGAACAGACATTAATGAACTAGGGTAGACCATTTTTGAATGTATTAATTGTTATTATAAAATATACAAATCATGTCAATCTTAGGGTTTCCATCTTGCCCCCCCGGTTTTGCCAGTGGTGGCGGGGGACACACACCCCTCACCATCCCTCTCCAAAGGGGGAGTTTGGTAAAGAGAGATGAAAAAACCGATTTGTACCTTCCTTAAAAGTTGTCCTAGCTCGCTTTTCTAATATCTATATACAATCTTCACACTGCCGTACTCTAACGGAACTATCAACTCTATGCTTTTATCTACTCCATATATCGTATAAAAATTACCACTACAGTCTGTTATTTGAAATTAGCATCTTCAACTATAGATCTACTGATCTTTCGGGAATTCCAGAGATCTTAAGCTTAAGGATCCGAAATTTAAGTCCAGACTATTGGATTGGCTTAAAAATCTATAAGCGTGAGTTTCGACAATTTCAGGATAATTCCATGATGTGCTGAAATAAAATCGAGAACCCTTAAGATATTCCGAGAAATTCAGTACGGAGACTTTCAGAACATTTATGAAAACTTCAGAACTTCACAGAAATCCAGAGAATTCCAGGGAAGTTTAAAAGTGTTCACGAGAATTCGATTTATTTTAAAGCAGAAGTGAGATCTTCAGTAGATTTTAAAGCTTTAGGGATGCTCCGAGAACATCAAAACAGATCATATAATTAAAGGGCAGTTAAAAAAATCAAGGAAATTGCAGAAACCTTGAAGAAATTCCAAGAAAATTTCCGGGAATATCAGGAAAACTTCGGTTTCCGCAGAGAAAATTTCTGGAACGCAATAAAAATTATATGAACATCCGGAAAATGTGAGAGTATTTCAAGGGTGTTGGAGTTCTCCTCAACATTCGCTTCATTGAATTCATTTCAGATTTCTTTTTTAATCTCACACCTTCCCTTGGAACACTACTCACATTGAAAGCCTCCTAGGAATTCATTTGCATTTCTCCTCACAAATTCCTTACATTGCTCCCCTTAATTTGTTTGAAAATCCCTCCTGGAATTATTTTTCGAATTTCTTTGAAGATCACCAGGAGTTATTCTCAGATTTAACTATAATCCTCCTTTTAGCATCCCCATCACCACCTGAGTATTCACCATAAAATTACTGATGCTCCGATTTCAAATGTGTGAATGAAAGTAACTAGGAATATTGAATGGTTTTATTTTAAAATGCATTATTTTCTTTGGAATACCTTAGTAAAAAAAATATTAAATTTCGTGAGTACTGATGAGATACCCTGAGACTTCCAGGTATTTTCAGGAGGAATAAAGTTCCCTGAGAATTCCCGTTTTTTCAGGTTTTTCCAAGTAGTAGACACTTGGAGGTTTAGTCATAAACTTTCTATTGCTTTCGAGCTAAAAGTTACTATCGTACATATTTAAGTGTTTATGAGATTCTAATTGAATTAGTCTAAAAATTTATTTGGTCATCATTTGGCCATCAGAAAGAATAATTTTCTTCCCTTAGGTAACTGTTTAGTTACTTTTTTATAACTGTAAGTTATTATTTGGTCACTTATTTCTTCAACATGGTCACTAAAATCACTATTTTTGACAGTATTGATCGCTACCAGCCCTGGTTTTATTAAAAGGATGTTTCCAACGGAATTCTTATGATTCCGCGGTAGTTCTAGAGATAATTCCAAGAGAGTTCTAAATGAAATTGAAAAATATTTTTTACGAGAATTCTAAGGGATTTGTACTTCTGAAGTTCTAAGTAGAATTTCAAGAGAAGAAAAAGGAAAAGGAAAATTACAATTTTGAGCTTAAGGTGATACTCTAAGGAAGCCTTAGCGTGAAACTTGAAAGGCACAAATGTCAGCTTCCACAAAACATACAAACTTGAAATTGCTACTCCTTGTTTGCTGTGCTACTACAAACAAAGAGTAGCAATTTCAAATTTGTATGTTTTGTGGAAGCTGACATTTGTGCCTTTAAAGTTTCACGCTAAGGCTTCCTTAGAGTATCACCTTAATTCAGAAGAGTATTTCAAAAGAATATTAACAAAAATTCTAAGGAAATTTCCACCGAAGCTTTGAGGTAAATTTCAAAGGAATACTTAGGAGAGTTTCAAGGCTATTCTTGTAATGATTTTGGAGAATTCAAACAAGAATTCTGAGGAGCATATCTCAGCCATTCCATAGCAAAACGATATAGTGGTTCTCAGAATTTCGTAACAATTGGCAGTTTTGTTCCTTATCGAAAAATATTAGACCCGTATTTTTTTTATTTTCTCATTAGGGTGACCATTTTCCTGTTAGGGTGGTCCAAAAAATCGGTTTTTTTTTCTATTTTTTCCAAAAATTTCATTTTTTTTTAAATCATAACTTTTAAACCATTGAACCGATTTGAATGATCATTCCAGAGAAATTTTAGAAGAATACATACACACCTAGAAATAACTAACATAAAGCATAAGACGTAATCAAACATGTCATGTAAAATTAAGTGCTCTGAGACTGCAAAGTTCGTCACTCGACGAAAAGTATGTTTGATTGAGCTGAGTATTGCGTCTGCTATGACCAGGGTTGGTAACGGTCAGTTTGGTCAGTAACGTTTGACGAAAAACAAAAATAAATTGTCACGGTACAACAATCACCTTTTCCATACATCCTTCGTCAGTGACGAAAAGAGTCCGACAGTGATCACTTAAAAAACCCACACCTATCCTAGTTTTGTCATGCGGTGTTTGGAGTGCGACGAAGATAGTAATACAATATTTCTCATAAACGACTTTGCTTTGGCATTGGCATTGATGCAAGCCAGCCCTGACTATGATTCAATTTTATGTCAAAATTGGCGCTCGTATATGCGTATATTTTTCTAAGTGTGCAGTAAATGCTGATAATAGTTTATGTCATAAGATTTCTTTGCAGAATTCCTAGGTAATACTGCGAATCCAATTCATAATTTCAAGAGAATTGCAGAGTGAATCGAAGAACCTTCATAGAGAATTGTTAGTATTACTATTATGGATCAAATTGCAAGGGAATACCAGAGAGAGTTCTATGATGAGGAAATTTGGCGATAATTCTAAGGAAATACTTTTTTTTTTTTAAAGGCATCCTGTTTGGGTATCAACACGATTTTTTTTTTCCTTGATTTGTTTTCCGTGCTGAGCACCAATACTACCGACGCCAGGGATGCAGCTCCCACACCTGGACCCTACCTATCGATCCATCAACTCATGAACCGGGGAGCAATGGCTTGACTCCCCGTGATCAGCGATGTTATGCCACAGAACATCTCGGCGGCGCCGACTGGGATTGAACCCAGGCCTTTTGGGGTGAAAGGTAATCACGCTTACCACTACACCACCGGCGCCGCAGTATCAAGACGA